TTTGAGGGTAGCATCGGTAATGGTGACGAAGTTTTGATAAGTAACCTGCTTGGTAATTTTCGATTTTCGTTTATACTATTTTGACTTGCAACACAAAGTAAATATTTCACCTGAGCCTTTTTTATAGTGTGTATATTTTTTTACTGTCAAAATGTGTAACATTTTCAAATTTATTAAACGCCTAAATATTCAGTTATTTTACAAAGTGACTGAAAAACATTTCCATCTGTATTATTATGATAACGAATTCCAAACATTTTGATGTTTAATGTCATCACCAAGAGACTGAAAATGTTATGTTGAAAAGTACATTTCTATGTTGTTTGGCTTCTAATCTTACATAATAATCTGTTGTGATGTTTGTAGGCCCTTTTGATCGTCTTAATCAATCTGGACAGATTTTTTAGTTGTGAAAACAACGTCTATCGCACATTGAAGAATTTCCCAACCAAGACGTAGAGAAACAAGGACGAATCGGTTCAATGCTACAGCAAATGAAGGAAGCAAATACCATAATTACAACCTACCAAATTTATGTGTATAAATTTTAGGCAGCTTCCTTGTTCGAGGAATGTATCCGTGAATATCCACACAAAGGAACAATATCCCACTCGTCTGCAGCTGTACAAAGAAAATTATTCGATGTCACGTGTCTCTGTAAAAATCAAATATTTTAAAAGATATATATCGTTTCGGGATATTATAACCCGTGTTCGTTTCTCAACTGATCACTTGGATTGTTTCAGGTGTTTCACATAGGTGTCAAGTCTCAAGGGTCGGCTGAGAAATCCCACGTGACAACTATTTTCATAACGTCCACGGTTCCTAAAAGTCCATTGAGTGATAGATAACAATGATCAATCAATCAACGTATTATCAGTTAACCCTTTGAACAAAGTATGTTGTTTTTACATCGGCACTTCACGCCATGATATGAGTGTATTCCCTTTGTTTTAGTAAACCTAGACATGTAAACACTCCCTTTTGACATATCCACTGTGCAAGATAACAGTGATTAATCAATCAACGTATTTTCTGTTAATCCTTTGATGACAAGGAACGATCCGTTGATTTACCCAAAAAAGTAAATCAACTGATCATTCACCTCTTACTGGTCTGCCACGTGCATATTACATAACACACATTTCACCTCACTTCAAACCTGTGTGTGGACGTCCATCTGTCAAATGTCCGTTTTCCGTTTCCTTCTCCCAAACCTTTAAATATTTCTATAAAACATGCTGATGGTGAACTGGTGCTTTTTAATAATTTGGGATTTTTTACATTTTTAAATTATTTTATTTTCATGACATGTTTGACTTTACTGAAAAGGTGAACTGGTGCCTTTTGACCACTGGGGATTTTTTTAGAAACTGAACAGTATTTTTTGTCTTTTCTTAACTAGGCATGTAAGCAAATAAGACAGCTTTTCACTTTGTTCTGTCAATTTGTTGAAAATAATTAATCTGTAGAGAATTTATACATGTGTATAAACCTGGAACTTCAGAAGCATACTGGTCTGATCACAGGATAATCTGAATATCTGTGAGACAGTAAAGTAAGCATTGATAGCATTGGGATATGCATGACAGGTACTATAATTATGTTAGAGAAGTGAAAATTGTAATAGAATTACTAATCTTTTATTTTTAGATAACCATTTGAAATAAATGCAGTGTCACAATAATTTGTATGGTGTCTTTTTTGTGGCTGCTTTATTTGCCCAAACGCAGTCAAGGCCATGTTGGACAAAGGTATCCAATGGAAATGAGGCAAAGGTATATATGGCCAAACTCTCTTTCCAGATTGCACCAGATCGTGGGATATGTCATCTCCTGATGACTCTTGTTGCAATTGATATTCCACTATGATTGCTTTTATGAACGTCGCTTCTATGCAATATATGACATTCTGTTTTTGTACCTTAGGGTACAGATGTTTAATAACCATCTTAATTGATTGTGTTTTTTACAAACTTAGTATTTGTGTTGAAAAAATGGAGAAACGTCTTTGATAATCTGTTTGTAGAATTAATCATAGAAGTACTAAGGTTAAAGAAAATTTGTTTTACCAAATCATTTTTGAAAAAATTCAAAGAGATGTCACCTTAGAAAATATCACAAACAGTTTTTCAAATGGCTTCTAGACAGCTGCTAATTTGGCTATAAATAATTGTAATAATATGGTAAAAAGTAAGCATTGACAGGTCAAGGTCACTAAAAACATTTTAGAATGTGACATAAGTTTCAATAACAAGAAAATCAGTAAACTTCTCCCAAGTAGCAGAAAATCAATTTCAATCTTTAAAAGTTCAGAATTCAATTTTGGGTCTTAATTATGTCTCATTTGGAGGAAATTGGTGTCATTTATGGAAAAGCTAATGAAATTTATCATCCTTTTTATGCTTGGTGTATGACTGGAAGGGGGAAAATAGATGCCATTGACAAGATATTTCGCACATTGATTGCCTAATGAAGAAAAGGATGTGAACAGTTTTTTCACAGCCAGATTATGGTATCCTGAGGGACAAATTTCAATTTGACATAGAAAGTTTCCCAAGCACACTGGCCATCATTGAAAGTAGTGGTGGTTGGGTTTCTGCCACCTTCTGACATTTACAGACAAAATTGATGGTATTTGTTTGCATCCAGAATTCATAATGGCTGTCCTTAAACCGTTACTCCATGGGGAATCGGTGGAACAATTGGTTTCCAGTATCCCACGCCTTTTATAAGGGCTGACATCAGAACAGTATCGATGCTAGGCTCTAGCTGTCACTTGGCTGATTGTGTCTCACCGTGCTCACCGTGCCCACCATGGCATGGATTGTAGCTCATGCTTTTAGTCACTAGTTTGCCTGGTCTGTGGCATTCATCAGTTGCTTGTATCAAAGGGTTAGGGACATTCATCAGTTGCTTGTATCAAAGGGTTAGGGGCATTCATCAGTTGCTTGTATCAAAGGGTTAGGGACATTCGTCAGTTGCTTGTATCAAAGGGTTAGGGGCATTCATCAGCTGCTTGTATCAAAGGGTTAGGGACATTCATCAGTTGCTTGTATCAAAGGGACAGTAGCATTCATCAGTTCCTTGTATCAAAGGGACAGTAGCATTCATCAGTTGCTTGTATCAAAGGGTTAGGGGCATTCATCAGTTGCTTGTATCAAAGGGACAGTAGCATTCATCAGTTGCTTGTATCAAAGGGTTAGGGGCATTCATCAGTTGCTTGTATCAAAAGGACTGACTTTTTGACAGAAATATATTTGGAAAGAAATATGTCCTCATTTTTTTCCATAAAATAAAACTTTTCACTGGACATGGAGGATGTCCTGAAAAAATATGTGTCGTAAAGAGCAAATAATTTTCAGGTCCTCTTGTCACAGAAGTGAATTGTGTGTTTTGAAGCAGTGATGGAAAAATGATCCTGTCTCAAAAACCAACATTCCCTCCAACCTGGTGGGTGTACCTCACTTACCTGGCACCCTGCAAGGATTTATAGGGATTCTCTGTACTGCCTAGGTGAATACAGAGTTATAGTCTGTATTTTAACTACATCCAACACAGCCCCCAATGCCACACTGATGAATATAGAGTAAGCGAGCGCTTACAAATACTCAACTGATGATATCAAGTGAGCTGTAGTTTAGTTTAAGTACTCACTATCCTATTGATTTAAATAAATCAGTGGTTGGAAGTCATCTAAATGAGATGTTATTTGCAATATGTTGCAATTATACTCAACGGTTCAGTGTTAAGCGTTTGTAAATGAAAGCGTATGTCAATCATTTGTTATCACACAGTACAAATTGTGTCCCAAGTATATAGAATAGACTATACCCCCAAAACATACTGTCTGGGGATTATCACACGTTTCTGGTTTCTTAATTATTGAAACATAGGCGCCATGTAAGTGAAGGGACCCCAATCCAACTTGTGTATCTGCTACCTTACATCTTATGATTGCAGCGACTGGTCAGTTAAAGATGGCCCAATTACATACCAGTATATGCAGTCTCAGTTCCAAACAGGGAACTGAGGGCAACATTGAGATCTTGACTGCATATTGGCACTATATCATGGAGCATAGTCTCCCATAAGGAATATTCACTTTCTAACTCACTTAGTTGTCTGTAGGTTTTTGCCACCATCCACTTGGTTCCACTACAGTGACCAATGTGCAGTCTGTTGTACTGATCCCTTACCATGGTAGAGTTGTTTTCACAACTCACTGCTGAAAGCTGCTTGACTTTGTTTATGTTTTGAAGATGTTGTTTTGTTTGTTTGTTGTTTAATAGTACTTGTTGCTACCCTGTCTGGCGCTCGGCATTAAGGGGCTAAAGCAAGGACTGGTCGGCTCGGAGTCAGTATACTGTGTCTGAGTGGGGTAATCATGTTAAACTGCGGCATGGTATTTCAGTGGGCTAGCACTATAAATCGGCATCAGTCCGGACTAGTACAAGCAGCCACACACACACACATGTGCATGCACGTCGCTATATAAGTGCAATGATCTTGGATGCGACGTTAAACCCAATTTCACCTTCACCTTCACCTTCACCTTCACCTTCACCTTGTTGTTAAATGCAGCACTCAGCAATATTCCAGCTTTATGATGGCATTCTGTAAATAATCGAGTCTGGACCAGACAATCCAGTGATTGACATGAGCATCCATCTATGCAATTGGGATACGATGACATGCATCAACCAAGTCAGCGAGCCTGACCAGCTGATTCTGTTAGTCACCTCTTATGACAAGCATAGTCGCCTTTTATGACAGGCATGGGTTGCTGAAGACCTATTCTAACCCATATCTTCACGGGTCTGTTTTGAAGATGCATTTGTTTAATCGTTTCCCCAATACATCCTTCCTATTGCCAAACATTTGTGGTTGTTTTTACAGCCCTTTGAAAACTATTGACTGCCACACTGGCAACGTGAGTGCAATAGTCAGGTAAGACTGTCATCATTGGTTTACAGATTCTACAATTGGAAAGACAAATTATTTCTTAAGCACCATTTTTTTTTATTTATCCGAGTGTGACATAACGTGTTCAGCACAAAAACAAACAATAGATGAACTGCAGGACACTAGGTAATATAGGTTTGATGATGAGGCAACTTACACTAACACTCCACACATGGCAACATCTTCAGATAACAAAGAAATTGGTTTATGATGTCTTTCACCTACTGACCATGGCCATCTTCCACAAAGGGATCTTAGCATTACAACTACCATAAGCCTGTGTTAAAGTATTGGCTGTTATGTTCATCTTAGCACAACAACTACCAGAAGCCTATGTTAAAAAATGGGAGTTATGTTCATCTAAGTGCTACGACTACCGTAAGTCTATGTTAAAATATGGGAGTTATGTTCATCTAAGTGCTACGACTACTGTAAGTCTATGTTAAAATATGGGAGTTATGTTCATCTCAGTGCTACGACTGCTGTAAGTCTATGTTAAAATATGGGAGTTATGTTCATCTAAGTGCTACGACTACCGTAAGTCTATGTTAAAATATGGGAGTTATGTTCATCTAAGTGCTACTACTACTGTAAGTCTATGTTAAAATATGGGAGTTGTGTTCATCTCAGTGCTACGACTGCTGTAAGTCTATGTTAAAATATGGGAGTTGTGTTCATCTCAGTGCTACGACTACCGTAAGTCTATGTTAAAATATGGGAGTTGTGTTCATCTCAGTGCTACGACTACCAGAAGCCTATGTTAATATATGGGAGTTGTGTTCATCTCAGTGCTACGACTACCGTAAGTCTATGTTAAAATATGGGAGTTGTGTTCATCTCAGTGCTACGACTGCTGTAAGTCTATGTTAAAATATGGGAGTTGTGTTCATCTCAGTGCTACGACTACTGTAAGTCTATGTTAAAATATGGGAGTTGTGTTCATCTCAGTGCTACGACTACCGTAAGTCTATGTTAAAATATGGGAGTTATGTTCATCTTAGTTCTATGACTACCATAAGTCTATGCTAAAGTATGGGATTTATCTTCATCTTAGTGCTACGACAACCCAACATCTGTGTTAAAGTATGGGAGTTATGTTCATCTTAGTGCTACGACTACCGTAAGTCTATGTTAAAATATGGGAGTTATGTTCATCTAAGTGCTACGACTACTGTAAGTCTATGTTAAAATATGGGAGTTATGTTCATCTCAGTGCTACGACTACCGTAAGTCTGTGTTAAAATATGGGAGTTATGTTCATATTAGTGCTACGACTACCGTAAGTCTGTGTTAAAATATGGAAGTTATGTTTGTCTTAGCACAAAGATCACTTTGTGGAATGGTACCCAGGATTTTTCCAAACATATGTACACCAAGAAATAAAAGTTATAAGTCTGACATATGCTGTAGTTCCGAAAATTTGGGCGACAGAGATGGCGAGTGAGTGACGTGTGTTTTGGATAGATGGATGAGAGGGCGACATCTTGATGTAGTAGCTGTAATAGTTATCTTTAATTTATATTATGTAATCCATGGATGGACATCTTCTGATATACTATTCTTCAAAGATTTTCAGGCCACAGCTAAGTGGCGCTATTATTTGTAATGCAAAGTTGCGTCCCCTTGCTGTTCCAGAATCCATTTGTCTTTGAAGAGATGATCGAATACCTGTATCACTTTGGGCTTTTATCCCACATTAAGCTGTCACGCCGCAATTCAGCTGAAATTAGATTGAAATGCGGCTCAATGTGGCTCTACTCACTCTGTAGTGAGAACATTCCTACAGGTATATGTGATCCCTCCCCATGCAGGTTTGACACACATAGGGACAAAGAGAAGCACTGGGTATCACAGAAAGGTCCAGCAAGTTCATGTACTTTCCTTGCTCACCTTTTCGCGAACACCTGGTATCATCACTATATGATAGTGATTCATAAACACATGCTCATGATACAGCTAGAATCGTACAATGAAGTCTGCTTTTTTCAGAGGTATCTTGTGTCTGTGGAAAGGGTTTTGTCACTTCTGTTTATGATTGTAGAAATGGTTTCGTAGCATTTGTTTCCTGGTTTGACAGAACTTGTTTTTACCAAATTTCACTTCTCAATATTCATATGTTACACTGGGATGATCTTGTATTTTAAAATAATTAAATTTAAGATTAAGATAGAGTTATGGAATCTCATCAAAAACATCTTTAAAAACAACTTTTTTTTCCTTTGGTATCTTGGACCATCTGCCTAGTCATACCAACGATACTTCCATGTCACATGATCGTAATCCGTTTGTTCGGGTGTTATACAACGTACTGCGATACTGCAGTGTCCTCTGCCCCTTCTTGCATCCAAAGATATGTAGAAACACCATACGGAACTTTTTACCAAACACACAGTACATGATGAAGTTTGTTGCGGAGTTGATTTCCACCATGAAGGTACACATGACATAGAATTTGTTGTAGTGCATGTTGCTAACGAGTTGTCCTCTCTCCGTGGAGGCCATGAGAATGTTGTCAATGATTGAGGGAAACTGGCAGACGAGGAACAAAACGATGACGGCCACCAACATGATGGTTAGGTTATGTTCTCGAGCAGCAGAATTGGACATTTGCTGTCGCTGCTGATGAGAATGTCTGAGCGCTCGTATCAAGGCAGAGTTGAGAATCATGAGAATGGAGAATGGAATCAGAAACATGAAAATTAATTGGAAGTATATCAAATAGACTTGCCGGAAAACAGTATCACTGCCAAATTCGGTTTCCTTGGCAACAGCTTGTGTTCTGTTTTTCTCATCCACCCATTTTGTGTCGACTCTGTAATGGAAGTACCTAGGTATGTTGTAGAGTATAGACCACAGGAAGATGAGTAGCATCGCTTTCTTTGCCCGTGATTTAGTGCATGTGTTAGCTGCATGCAGTGGGTGACATACAGCAATGTAGCGCTCAATGGTAAAGGCAACACAGGTATATATGGAAGCCATTTGAGCAGCCAGTGACACAGGGTATACAATTGGCATGGCATAACTGTAGTTGAAATGGTAACTCTCCAAGATGCTAGGTTCCATGCTCTCATACAAAGCTGGCAGGCCGAAGAACACCACCATGGCGACCAGAATGACATTGTCGTAGATTGCCAGAGTCACAAGGTAATACGCTGTGGAGGAACGCATTTTTCGGTGTCGGAGAACTATGATTGATAATGTGTTGGCAAGCAGTCCAAACACGGCCAGGGTGTTACCAATGATACCAAGCATGGAGAATTTAAATGTGTTGAGTTCCATCCGGAACTCTTTGCTGGGTCCATATGTCCTGTTGTCGGCATTGCTGGGCACGATGGTGGTCAGGTTCAGTATGACAAACTGGAACGTCTTGTTGAAGTCCTCCATTGTGACAACCTGGAATATAAAAGGTTAAATTATAACTTAAACATTCCCCCAAGTATATGATTGACCTATTTCACCTGCTTGCAGGTGATCACAAGGGGGAAAATACAATTAGTGGTATGTTTGTTCCTTAATAGAGTTATCTCCCCTATTGTTGAAAGCTATGACCTCTACGCATGTGCAAATCTCCTTGTGATGTACATAATACTTTGTTGATTAAACTCTTGATGTCAGAATTACAGATTTATCAGATATGCAGGGACATGAAATGAGGTATAGCATTAATTGCTTGACAAGAATTATTGTTAAATGCATCTCTTTTTCACTGTATGGTCATTAAAACAATTTGTTTTTTAGACACAAGGTTATGTGAGTTTGAAACCTGGTTTGCCCTGATTATGTTTCAAGGTTTGTCGTGCCCGTGCTCATGGTTGTTTTCAAAGAGTTAAATGACTAAGCCCTGCTTCACTTTTCCAATGTATAAATGGAACATGTGGAAATTGTTTATTGCTGTGTTTAATAAAACTGATCTTTATCAACAATAGAAGTAGGTTGGTGAAATATCATAAAGAGGGTTTGTGACACGAAATATACAATAAATATATTCCCCTATACAATTTCTTCAGTTATTGAGTATGCCTTGATATAAACATAAACATATTTATTTCCGTAAAGTGGAGGGATTGGCAAACAAGCAAATATGGCTTATCTGAGTGCCTCTCCCAAACATGATACTTATACAAATTACAATGTATTGAAAGTGGCATAAGAGTGAGTGAGTGAGTGAGTGAGTTGGGTTTAACGCCGCCTTTAACATTATTCCAGTCATATCGCGGCGTGTCAGCTTAATGTGGGAGGAATGCCCGAAGTGATGCAGGTCTCAGACGTTTACCACTTCAGTGAAACCCACGAGCACGGGTATGGTGCTGACAAACCTAGAAACATAATTGGGGAGAACCGGGATTCGAACCCACAATCATAGGTTTCTGGCGTGCCCAAGGGACGCAACTCTGCACAGCGAATCGCGGCACCTTAGATGACTGGGCCACCCGTGCCCCCCAGGTGACATGAGAAATAACATGTATTGTATAATTGACATTAGAGATGAGTTTTGTTCTGTAAGTGTTTAATTACTGGATTATCTTTCATAACTACTGTTACGTTATTATTTACATCCAGCACAACAACATCGCAGTATCATTTAGCAAAGCCAACATCTCAGACAAAATCCATAAATCGGAAATGAGTATGATTTAATCTTATCGTTACAAGCAATTCATTATTGTATTTAGTTCATTCACTAAGATAAATATGAGTTAAGTGGTTTCAGTGTTTGTGAATGTTATGTGCATTTTACTTCGTTCCATGATCCCGTTGCACTGATTCATTTGTACAGTAAACATCTCACACATTAAGTCATTTCATGTGCAGTTGATGCAGTAAGGTGATCACAAAGCCATGGTGCACCAATGCTGAGTGACAGATGTTATTCTTACGCTACATCTGGCCTAATGTAATTATCTGTGTACTTATCGTTATCCATTACCTGTTGTTTTTGTCAATCTGCTGCTTATCACAACGTATCATATATATACCAGGGGCACGGGTGGCCCAGTCGTCTAAGGCGCCGCGATTCTCTATGCAGAGTTGCGTCCCTTGGGCACACCAGAAACCTATGATTGTGGGTTCGAATCCCGGTTCTCCCCATTTATTTTTCTAGGTTTGTCAGCACCATACCCGAAGTGGTAAACGTCTGAGACCTGCATCACTTCCGGCTTTCCTCCCACATTAAGCTGACACACCGTGATACTACTGGAATACTGTTAAAAGCGGCGTCAAACCCAACTCACTCACTCACTCACTCACTCATATATATACCTCTCATAACTTGGTTTTAGTCACTCTTGCTTGATAATGGTGTAAGAATCTAAATCGAAACGTCGCTACATGCAATAAACCAGAAGTTGTTTTACCCCCTGTGAGAGGGAGTTCTTCAAATCATGAACTGTTCATGAACTGTTAATGAACTTATTGTGCCATTTAATGTTCACAAATTGTTCCTGAATTGGAAATTTCACAGGGAGCAGAAATAGTCAATATTCTGCGCATTTGTATCTCAGTGGGCTAGCACCATAACACCAGCATTATTCTGGTCCAGTAGAAGCAACACATACACACATGCACATCCCATTGTAAATAAAATAATCTTGAATACAATGTTAACTAGGGCTGCAACAAATACGCTATGAGGCAAATACGATTTGTATCCCAAATATAGGGTAACGAATACAAATATTTATTCACGAATACAATAACAAGTCAGCAGTTGATGTATTATTTGTTATATTCAGTGACAAAATACAACATCAATTATTTGATATGGTTAGTTAATTATTAATATATTATACATTTATAAACTGCACTTATTCAGGAACTAGTATCTGCTCAATTACGACAATGACCAGTGACCACAATACATGTACTGTCAAATTAAATATGTGAGTGTTAAAATTGTCTTAAAGAAATCTGTGCGTGTAATATGTTCTTATGGATATTTTTAGGTACAGGATATGTAAATGCACATGACTGCATTTTTGTAAATATTTGATTCTAGTGACCACGAATAACGAATTCAATTCATGAATGAATACGGTTCGATTCACCGAATACGCCAGTGAATTGTAACAGCCCTAATGTTAACCCCAATTCATCATTTGTTGAGTGACGATGTCATGTTTTCCACAGAATATTGATTCATCACTTCTTCTTCATTTTAGTATTTGTGTGATATCACTGGAGTATTGCTACACGTAGCATAAAACAATCCTGAATGGATGTTCTCAGAACTAAACCATAACAAATATGACAACTCATATCCATTGACTATCATCCTGAGGTTAGACTATATATCTGTGTGCTTGCTTGACCTGCTTCATATCTGATTTATTCATCTTCGCTATTGAATTCATAACATTTCTGTTACATTCCCACAAAGCAATTAAGTAAAGTTGTTTGGAAAATAGACCTGTTTGTTGTTGTTTCATTCAGGGAATGACAACATTGAGAGAGAATGCGGGAGCCATGAGTCAGAACTACTTATTGTAGATGAGGACAGGGGAGAAATTGTGGCCATTGTGTCAAAACATTTTTATTATTACTGCTGAGCACTTTTTAATCACTGATGATTTGCCACTTTATTTAAGTGTTACATATATTTTTCACCAAGCATGATTCAAAAGTATGGAATGTGAGTTTTTTTTAAAGGTTAGTAATAATAATATAATTATATGGTCAGGCAATGGACTGCGAAAATATTCAGTGGAAGATTTCTATCATTAATCACTGTTTACCGGTGCCTCGCGAAATACTGTTATAGAACATTGGTCAAAGGTATTAGCCAGCCCTATTTTTTATGTCTTGGACTTTTATGTGAAATCTTGGCATATATCCGGTTATATATGGTAGTCTTTTGGTTTTGTTTGTTGTTTAACGCCGCACTCAGCAATATTCCAGCTATATGACAGCGGTCTGTAAATAATCGAGTCTGGACCAGACAATCCAGTGATTAATATCATGAGCATCAATCCACACAATTGGGATCAATGACATGCATCAACCAAGTCAGCGAGCCTGACCATCACGTTAGTCGCCTTTTACGACAAGCATAGTCACCTTTTACGGCAAGCATGGGTTGCTGAAGACCTATTCTACCCCGGAATCTTCACGGGTCATATGGTAGTCAGTTGGCCAGCATGTATGGATATCATAACATCATAATGATGGTTGTAACACCCTTTTTCTGTCATGCCGGTGGGAAGGTTCAGTTAGAATTGCTCTTCAGCAACCCATGCTTGTCTGAAGAGGGGACTTACAGGATTAGGTGGTCAGACTCATGATGTCAAGCACTGGACTGTCTGGTCCAGACTCGATTATTTACAGACCACCGTCATACAGCTGGAATATTGCTGAGTGCAGCGTTAAACAAACAGTGCAGCGTTATACAAACACATTTCAATATAGATTAATGGAGATGGTATGGAAATATAAATTTTCTTGTGTATCATACACAGTATAATACATACCCCACCCCTATTCTGGGATGTAGGTTCAGGATAAAATGTTAATTTATATTCAGTGTGCAGTCAATGACTAGAAGGCCTGGTTTGAGCCAACAGGAGATTCAAAACTTGGTCAAAACGTGCGTTGTCAAAGAACCATTTGTGATTAATGATTACTAGACGTGATGAATTACAATCTAAACATGTTACCCTATGTAATGTTTGTACACAGTGATCAATATTATTGTGTGTGATCTTCTCATAAATGGAGGGTTTATGGCACAGCAGATCCTGTTTCGGGGTCAAATCTGAACATGCTCCGCAAAACATGACGTGATATTAATTTATTAGGAATCAATTTCATAACATGACAGCAGGTTGATGACTCATCTGATTCAAAATTTTAAAAAAACCCATTGTTTTGGCTACCTGCAAAAAAATACTTGTAGCCATATGGCTACTTGGTAATAATTTAAACTTTTAGGCCTGTCTCCATTACTCCATGCCTGTCTCTGTGGTGATTCCAGGACAGGAAAGGTCCCCAGTTCCCCATGCTTGTTTCTGGTGATTCCAGGACAGAAAAGGTCCCCAGTACTCCATGCCTGTCTCTGTGGTTATTCAAGGACCGAAAAGGTCCCCAGTACCCCATGCTTGTCTCTGTGGGGATCCCAGGACAGAAAAGGTCCCCATTACCCCATGCTTGTCTCTGGTGATTCCATGACAGAAAAGGTCCCCAGTACCCCATGCTTGTCTCTGGTGATTCCATGACAGAAAAGGTCCCCAGTACTCCATGCTTGTCTCTGTGGTGATGCCAGGACAGAAAAGGTCCCCAGTACCCCATGCTTGTCTCTGTGGGGATGCCAGGACAGAAAAGGTCCCCAGTTCCCCATGCTTGTCTCTATGGTGATTCCAGGACAGAAAAGGTCCCCAGTTCCCCATGCTTGTCTCTGTGGG